TTACAAACAAATAAACAAGTTAAATTCACTGAATTTCAACCAAATAGTATGAATTTGGACTCTATATTTCAATACAATTGTAAAACGATACATGAATTGTTCACATTTTACACGTTGTTGATTTACAATTTCTCAGACAAAATTTGATTCCGAAATTGGCGGAAAAAATGAAACAAGACAATTTTCTCGTGTAATTACCGGAACGCAGAGTTCGCTGTTAGGGAAGGGAGCATCGGTGAAGCTGCGGCCGCTGAGGTTGCCGTTAAATTGTCCATCTCCACCAGAAACAGAGGAATTACAGCTGTCAATGACGGTAACGGTGGAAGAATCAGCAGAATTTCCTGTAATACTGTTGAAAAATGCGTCGGCCATAACTTCATCTTCCTTAGGGATAACCAAAAGATCATCCACAGAAAAATTGTTACAGTTATTATTGATGTTATTCGGAATTTGTTCGTCTCCGGCATGTGAGAAAAAGCCGCTGACGAATAAATCCGATGCTTCCATTGTTAGAAAAAAGAAGAAGAAGTTGTTGGTGTGTAGTGTAAGAATGGTGGAGTGTAAAACGCAAAGTAACGGTAGGTTTGAGACTAATTCTTTATATGGAGAATCGGAAGCTGAGAAAAAGGGAGAGAGAATGAAGGAATTGAGTGTGAAGAGGACAGACAAGTGCTCAAAAGCTGAAAGTAAGGGGTCCGGGTCAGAGGCCTTTTCATAAGTGTAATGAAGGTCTTTCTCGTAATTACACCTCACTATTTTTATTTTTATTTTAAAGCATCTTTTATTACCTCTCCCTTTTTTATAGCACAATTTAAAAATTGTGTAATAAAAATTACACATCACTTGCTAAATCTGTAAAGTTGTTTCATTTTCCCCTTAACATGCTTGTATTTTAAGTACTGCTACTACTTTTTATTATAGTGTAAAAATAAAATAAAATGAATTGTTAAGCAAATTTGAAAGTTTATATTATCACTGGATGTTTTAATAATGATTTCAAATTTTACTTTATCTTTGTGGTAAGTAAAGGATTACTTTAGACTTTTTTAGAGTTTGAAACTTTGTTTTAAAGGTCAAAAATTGAATACTAAAGGTGCTAATGTAAATTGGATGTCACGGCTGTCATGTGCTGTTCGAATAATTTAAATGAAGAATCTGTATGTATTTATCTTCTTCTTTTTTAGTACAAGTAAAGTTAATTAGTACTTACTGTAATTAATTAATTAACAAAAAATAGTGAAGTGGATTAAAATCGATACAACCCCTTTACCCTTAAGAATCGATCCAGCAGGTTTTGTCGCCGTGAAGCTACCATTAGAGTCCAAGTTTACAGCCGGATTCCTCTGTTTTTTTTCTTTTTCTATGTATTATTATTATCTCTTATTATTACTAGTATTAACTTCGCCTTAATCCATCGGGAATTGCGCTTTGTCCCTTGTTTTTATAAAAAATATTTATAATAATTAAAAAAAAAAGTTTAAGCTGTTTCCTGGGTACTGCTATTTTTTTAACTCCATTATTAGTACTTTGTTTACCTTGTTAACTCTCATGTTAATATATTCCTTAACCCACGTTTAGGCACGAACATTACAGCTCAAACTGGTTCAAATTGCTCAGTCATCATGATTATCCACGTTTCTGTATAGGATGTTTCATTTACATTTTGGATAAACACTTTCAATTTCACTTTAAATCGCGATTTAATAGTTAAAAGCATGAACAAGTTATAATTACAGTGATAATTTAGAGAACTCATAAACGTTAAATCCTAAAAGTTGATGCGAGTTAAAAATATGAAATTTCTCAAAAGATGTATCAGTGACTTGGTGCAATTTCTGTAGCATAATCTTTTGCTTTTCTTCTTTTGTGTTCTTTTGGATGGGTGATGGAGATAATTTGTAATAAGAATTATTATAGGGCGGGATAATATTACAAATCCCAAGGTGAAAACGCAGTTAAAAACAGATAAAGTTTGTTACATTGACAACCAATCATTCGTCCTAGTTTTCTACCAGCTTTCCTCTTTTACTTTTTTTTGTCTTTTATTTTCTTCAAGAGTATCCTCTTCTTCTACAGTAATGTTACGGGTTTGATTGAATTCAGTAGCATTTAGTTTAGATTTTATATTTATTTTAAAATATTATAAGTACCTAAATTATTAATTTATAGTAGTTGTTTACCTCACTAAATTAAAAAAAATTGTTAATTAGATTTTTTATATAGAAATTTTTGCAATTAATTTTTTTAAAAAGTATTATCGTTTATTTGTAAAATTCCCAAAAAAAAATTAAGAGTAAATTAATAAAATAATCTTTTTATTTATGATTTCTTAATATGTGTGTAAAAGAAAAATAATCAATTAATACGGGACGAGATAGAGGGAGTCAGTGGCGGAGCCACCTTACAAGTAGGGGGTTCATCCGAACCCTCTTCGACGAAAAATTATATTATTTATAAATGATTAAAAGAATTTTTTAAGTATATATAGTAGATGTCGAACCCCTTTCGGCTACTTCGTGTGTCTATTTTTTCAAATTTTGAACCTCCTTATTGAAAATCCTGGCTCCGCTACTAGAGGGAGTAATTTATAAACTTCAATTTAAATGTCGATATTAATTGAATTTAAAGTATTTTTTCTAATATCAATTTATATGATGTAATTTTATTGGGTACAAACTTTGATAAATATAAAAGGAATTTATAATGTTCTAAAATTAATATACTAATTGATGGAGCATAACATTATAAGTGTTATTTTTCAAGAGACAGACTAAAAAGAAAAATACGGAACAGATGAAGTATAAATTAAGATGTGTGGGGGCATTGAGTGGGTTCGTGGGGTCCGACTAAGCACGTGACAAAGGATAGGGATATTGTCAGTTATCATGTGACTGACTTTTAAACTAAAGAAAATAGGCTACATGTTCAATTCTTCATTCAAAAGGCCAAGGCACAAATTGCTCTTTTATAGTTTAAGTTAACAATATGAAATTAGAAATATTGACTCAAACAAATTAAGATTCATATCATATAAGTTTTATAAAGAAAAAACATATTCTTTTAAATTCAAGTCATATCAATATTACACCAATCGAAAAATAAAAGTGAAAACCATTAATAATAATATTAATTATTAAAAGTTGAGTCAGAATTTGAAGTTTATGAATTTGAAATTTCAGTCTTTTAAAGTTGCTTCTTATTATAAATAATAATTTTTATATATTTAATAACTTCTCCACACTCTTTTGGGTGCGATCTTTCCCGAACCTTGCCAACAAGGAATGCCTTATGAACCGACTACCCTTTACAATTACTGAAACAAAGTTATTAAAGTTTGATTGAATCCGTAACGAAAAAGCTAGCTTCGCTCCTCCTAACCAACTATAAATGCCTCTCCTATGAAAATTTTCTTTCTAAATAAATTCAAAATTCTCTTTCAAGTCTTTTAAGCAATTTTCTGGCATGTAATTTTAGGTATATCTAGTCCCTTTTTAATACCTTCAACAGCAATATTTTCCCACTAACGAAGTAATAAAATTATAAATCGAACAAGACGTGTTTAAATTATCTCGAACGAACCTTCTTTTATTGTAATACTTACACCTTTAATTTAGTATATTCAAACATTAACTTTGCTTAAATGTATAGCTGGATATTTGATAGAAAACCCATTGTTTGTGGTCTTATTGCCTTAGGTTTCTCACGAACTCTTTTAACTAATAAGTGTCTTTTTTTCTTTGATGCTTCTCACACGTGCGTTAACAGTGCTAACATGGTTGCACGTGTAAGGTCATCACGTGGTTGCTTAACAATGCACGTGCCTTCTCCTTGACAATTGGCTTTAAGATTGTCTTTGGTGTTCATTAATCTATTACTACAATGCTTCCTCAATTATTGCTTCTTCATGTTATTATATGCCCTTTCCTTTTTTGTTTGCTTTGGAATTTAAAATAATTATGATTTTTTCAAAGAAATAAATTGAGAGATCATTGATTAAGTAAATTAATCATTTACAAGTAGGGAAAATTATAGTCAAATATCATTTCACTATTTAGTTTATAAAATATGTACACTGTGTTGAAGTAATATTTACTTTAAACTAAATATCATATAATATACAAAATATATACAGTCAAAGTGTATATATATATATATAGTCATATTTCAACCATGTTGGTAAACTAGTTTGCCAAAGGTACATTTACTTAAGTTTCCTTTACAAGTAATATAGACCTAGATTCCTGCTTAACTATACTTGTAACATTATAGTTGCCTTGAGGCGAAATGTTCCAAGTAACAATATTTCCACTTGTTTAGGCCACATATAATCAGCCCAAGAATGCTCAACAAACATTTGAGACATGGAATTACTTGTATTGGGCCTACTGGTCCATTGATTTGTAGTAAATTGTAGTCCATTAGGAAAAGACATGGGCAAGCAGTTCTCAATTAAGCATACAAGGTGCAATGGGTAAACCATTATTTTAAAACTATTCAACGTTTAGCTTGTTTAAGTGTAAAAATAAAATTGAACCAAACTCACCAATAACCAAAACACGGAAGTACTCCGAAAGTTTTAATTAAAATGTTAGATGTGCATATCATGTTTAAACTTACGTGACTTCTATGCTGGTCTTACACATTTTGGTGCGTCTCACATTAAAGTTTTATTGTTCTTAAATCCTACTGCTGATAGCCTAGAGGTCGTTGGGTTAGTAGGATGAGACAGACAAGGATATTCCGTGGGATTATTTTATCCCGCCTTTTATCTGAGATAAAAAGTACTCTAGGACTAAATAATACCTACCTTTATCATACACGTCCAACGGGATATCACAGGATTAATATCCTTAAATTGTATATCAAAGATGCTTTGACAACATAGAAACGTCAAACTAGTTGACGAAACAGTTGCTCATACATATCTGTTCTTCCGTCAAACACCACATCGATCGTTGTGTTATATAGCACATTGATATGATGAAGCAAAATCTATATTTGCAAAATAGCTAGAGTTTTGTTAATATGATGTAACATTCTGGACTCAAGGGCTATAAATGTGTCTAACTTTATGTATCTACTGTTGTCACTGGTTGCCATTCACCATCTACTGCTTCGTTCCACAATGTCACATTATTATTCCCATCAGCCACAGCCAATATGTTTCCTGTTAGTGACCACGAAACTCTCCAAACGGGGGCACCAAAATCCTTCAACACTTTACCAACCCATTGATCACCTTCTTTACCAACTGTCCATATAATCACTCTTCCATCTTCAGAAGCACTCGCGATAGTTGACTTTGGTAGCCCCAAGTTAGGGGCCCAAGCAACATCCCTCACCCAATCAGTGTGCATTTGAAGAACTGGGAAGCAATCCAACTTCCAAGTTCCATCAAACAGCTTCCACACTTTAACTGTATTGTCACAGCCACCAGATGCAAGCTTCGGCACGGGATTAAGCAGATCAGAGCCTACAAGAGATCCAGGAGCTGTTGATGGCGCCCACGAAACAGATGTAACACCTACTGGATGAGCCTGATCAATCCGTGATGTCTCCCAAACATCTTCTGATCTTGCTGTGAAAATGGAAATGTTCCCATCAGAAGATCCACAAGCCAAACAGAGGCCAAATTCATGAGGAGCCCAGGCTATTGCATTGACTGAAGCTTTATGGTCATCGAAAACACGTGCTAAGCTCCACTCATTTTGAGTACCTTCCTTCCAGATAATTACCTTTCCATCAGAAGAACAAGAAGCAAGGAGGGAACCAAACTTAGGGTGAGCCCAAGCTACTTGCCACACTGGTCCTTGGTGGCCACTTATAGTAGCCAGTAGCTGCGAAGACGAATTGCTGACCCCTGTTATCTTAATGGTGCAGTCTGAAGAAGCTGTTGCCAGACGCTTACCATAATAATCCATTGCCACATCATGGACAGTGTCAGTATGCCCACTTTCAATCTTCTGTGAAGGCATTTTTTTTTTTCTCTCTACTGGATGTTTCAAATCTTCTCTCTCTGGCAAAAATCCTGAAAGATATCCAAACATAGCTAGTTGATTATGAATTCAAACAGAAGATGGAAGAAAAAATAATTCTGAGAGCTAGGCGTGTTCAATTTCATCTTGCAAAACAAACTACATCACGAGATGACATCCTACTAATGAGATAATTGAAGGCACAAAAAAAAAGAACAAATGGCATAAATTAGAATCACTTAAGTTTCATGAAATACAGTATGATATAATATTCCAAGCTTTAGTAAATAAATTATAAACAGATCTAACAGTGACATCCATCAAAGAAAAAACATTTTAGAAGACGTGCTGCAAATGGACATCCGACTGTGTCAACCAAAAAAATGTGAGACGACATAGACAGGATGGAGATGTCAAAACTTGGTGATAAAGTTAAATGCAATGGATAGATTCACCTATTTATGCTAAAGTTCGAATTGCCTAACCAATACTGAAGAATCAGAGAAGAAACTCTTGCTGAAATAGTTTCACATTCATGATTTGATAATTTTAGGTTGCCAGCAGCTCCTTTGATCCTATTTAATGATGCAGATTCAGATTAATTGCATCATCTTTATATTAAACAAATCAACAAACAACGTTCTTGCACTGTTCAGACTTCTTAAGAATTCAAAAAGAACAGTGTCAATTGTTTGAACTTTTTCGCTATGCTATCTGTGTTAGGAAAAAGAACACTAAGAAACAGGATAGATGCTACAGAAAGTGTGATGTATCATTCAAAAGAGATAAGAAGCTGAAGCCTGATCTCATTCACTCTAGTAAAGATGACAAGAGTTGTGTTCCAAAATCAGCTAACTGCTTTATAACTTTCTTAGACATGGAAAAACAAGACCAAATTATACAAACACCTCATTGCTAGTTCAACAACAACAACAACATACCCCGTGTCATCCCACAAGTGGGGTCTGGGGAGGGTGGTGTGTACACAGTCTTTTACCCCTACCTTGTGAAGATAGAGAGTCTCTTTCCAATAGACCATTGGCTCATTGCTAATTCATATATCAGATTTTTGAACAAAAAAATCATTAGCATTACCAAAGTTACCCTTACATTTCGAGGAACATTCATACGTGAAACTAAGGAAATGTTACCCTTACATTTCAAGAATAAATCATACGTGAAACTAATTTGTCAAGTAAAACTATCTCACACTACTGGGGACAGAAAGAGATATTGATCTTAGCATCTCACTAACATATATTTCCACAAATTTCTTCTCACTTTCTTCTCTTTAATTAACACAATAATTTTGATTCTGTTGATCCTACAGTAAGTTTTAAAACAAGAACAATTTCATACGTTCTTATTTAACATTTAGCATTTGTTTATCACTTAAACTGAACTATAAACTTATGTAATGCAATCATTGTGATCTTCACAGTTCAAATAATTCCCCTTCTAATTTTCGAAGGACAATTTGACCTAATTTCTTCCTTATCTTATAATTAAGACAATTTTGGAATAAATAGGCATTTTATATGTTATAAAATTTTCTTTCGAAAATGGCGAGAAAATTTTAGTCAAATACTTTTCTTCTGCGACTCCTGCGGAAGCAAAATAAAACTAAAATTGTGATTGATTTTTTCTAAAATTGAACAGAAAAGTTACATAAACAAACAAACACTAATCGAAGCGAATTGTAAATTTAAGAACAACAGCAACTGCACCTTCAAACAGGGTTTATTCTACTGTTCCTTTTCGATAACACAACTTTTATGCGAGTAAAAACAGCAAACAATAAAGAATTAATCAATTGATATATATATACATATATAAAAGGATCACTGTAAGGACGATAACTTACGCCGTAAATTCGCCGGTGATCGGCGAAGAGTCACCGGAGAAAGAGATGAATCAATTCTAAGTCAATTTGACGGATCAAAAACACTGCAGGCCCAGTAAATCCGAAAGTGGGTCTTCTTCACAATATATTTATTTGCTGGGACCTACTGGTGACGCAATATTGACTAATAAAAACATGACGCGTCATCAAGGGGCCCACTAAACTTGTCCACAGTGTCAAACGTGGCGAAACGACTCCAGCTCTGGCCTTTGACTTCCTTTCAATTCTTTTTGCCCATAAATTGAACAAAAAATGTGAACTTTTAAAATAAAATGGATTTTAAGAAAAAGGGAAAGCTATATAAATAAACAAACATTCCTAATATAACGATTAAATTTCATGTTACTTTAAAATAGTTACTTCAAATAATTACATAATCACACACTATTTCATAGGGATGGGCATAAACACAGAAAAACCGAAAAATCGAATTATTTTGGTAATTTGGTTTCGGTATTTCGATTTTCAGTTCGGTATTCGGTATATGATTTTTTATTTTTTGATAATTCGATTTGGTTTTCGGTATGTAATTTTTGTGTAATTCGATATTTCGGTTTACCGAAATATATTAAATTATAATATATATTAATATTATATTAATTACTAATATTAAAAAATAAATATTATAATTTAAAATTAAAAACAAAAGTTTGTCTTTTCAAACTTTTCAACTTTACAAAGCCACTTCCCAAAAGGCAAAAATTACCGTTCCCACTTCCCACGTCTAGTCGTCTACAGACTATAGCAGCGTCGACTGTTTCAGCGACCAGCAGCACGCAATAGCTGCCAATCGACCAGCAGGCAGCCGCCGCACAACAACGACCGGTAAATTTCAATGTTATAACAAGGCTAAATTTCAATGTTAAAACAATTTATTATTTTGAATCATACAATAATTTGGAAAACAAAGTAAAATAAGCAAAAAGAATAAACATAAATAAAATAAACAAAAAAATTACAAAATTTTAAAAAGCCCACTAAGCAGGCCCATAACAAAAAACCGAAAAAAAAAATTGAAACCGAACCGAAATACCGAATGCCTAGCCATACTATTTCATATAAAAAAAATTAAATTTTAGTTAGATCAATTACTTTAAGTTCGATTACTTTCATATTTTCTTGAAATTAAGCTATAACAAGCCAAACTTTAGACACGTGACTCTGAAATTATTTGAATGTGACTAATATTACAAGAAATTAAAACTTTAGGTTGTTTATTAGGGGCTTTGAAATTAATTTTATGTCATATTTGATTTGAGATATCATAGCTAATTTTAAAATTATTTAATCTTATTATTTATATTTAAATAATAAAATCATGATTCCGTGAAAAAAGATGACAAAAACTGAAAAAACTCATAGAATATATCGATATGTAAAACATTTTTATATATCACATTTGATGTACCCAGCGACACCAATGGACGCAACGAACAATTATTTGTGCACTTCCTTTCTGAAATATTTTCATCTTTCATTTTTACTCATCACTGTTTAACTTGACACACCAATTAGGAAAATAATTATTGATATATATATTTTGTTAAACTATCTCTATTAAATGATGTTTAGTATTAGGTCTTGAAAAATATTTTAGAGAATAATTATTTAATGCTGAGGATAAAACATAGAAAAAAATAATTGTTCTTATTTTGATATGTCAAAAATAACTAGTAAAAATGAAAATTTATTTTAATAAAAAATGACAAGTAAAAATGAACGTATAGAGTATTTAAAACATAAACATGATTTCCTTCACCGCCTAAAAATCGTCCAAGTAATCCAAGATGAACATTATTATTGGGTTTAGTAAGATAATATAAAAAAATCTTATTGGGCTGATGAACATTCTAGATCGTTCCAAAATGATCCAATAAGGAGCTTTATTGGGCTAATAAATGTTACCCAACAAATATATGTACGACAAATTACTTAACTACACTCATTTACTTACCTTAATATCTATTTATCCCTACTTATTTCAAAAATTTCAAAAATCCCTTATTTTACCTATGTATCCCGTGCACAACGCTATGTATCCCGCATGTATCCCGTGCACAACGCTATGTATCCCGCATGTATCCCGTGCACAACGCTATGTATCCCGCATATATCCGTGTACAACGCTATGTATCACGCTATGTGGAATGTATCAAACCTAATGTATCCCGTGCACAACGCTATGTATCCCGTGCACAACACTATGTATCCCGCTATGTGGAATGTATCAAATCTAATGTATCCAGTGCACAACGCTATGTATCCCGCAAACATCATTTTTAAGGGATTTTTGGTGAATAGAAAACTAGAAGGGATAAGATGTTATTTAGTACTTATAATATGTGGTTCCTATAATTTATACTATATGTAATCCTAATGAACCTAGATGGTCCAATAAACATGATCAGTTCCACTCAAACACACTTATAAACTAATATACGTAGGTGTTTGGACATGATTTTATCTCGTGATATTGAACACTAAGATAAAATTAGTATTTAGACACGCAATTTTATTTCATGAGTTGATTTTAAATTCCTTAAAAAGCATAATTGATCAGGTTCATATCATGATTTCATATTTTTCAAATAAAAAAGTTGACTCACAAGTTAATATTTTGCAGGGAAAAAACACACCTTATATCTTCATAATTTTTTGCGAGAATGTCAAAGAAGTGATAAAATATTAATGGAATATGAACGTGATGATATAGTTACGAATGGTATGTGATTATGCAGGAGATAACAGATAATATTACCTTAATATGAAAGTGTGAAAATCGAAAATTAATTGATAATTGAGTGTTGTCACGCTTATCTTTACACATAAACAAAACCCAAGCAACCATCGAATAATGAGAAAATATATATTAAGAGATCATCAGTAGACAACCTAAAACATAGCAAATAAAGACTTCACTTCATTTCAATTATCTATGAACAACCATATAAAATAATAACAAGAGATTGAACAATAGAGGTAAAAATGGACTTTTTTTTCCTCACTATGGTCACATAAAATGAATCAAAAGTTCCCAAACAGTGTTAGTTGTTCTTTAAATTATTTTCATAATTAAAGATTAAGGTATATGATCAATGAAATATTATAAAAAATACACTAAATATGTAGTAAGCCTAAACAAATTATTAATTCACACAAATTAATATACTAACTAAGCACCCAATCTTAATAATACTTAATCAAACATGATTTTAAAATCTTGAGTCAACCACTAAAATAAACAATTCTCAATTAATGTTCACGTTGCATCATTTAAATAATCTCATCATTATTTAATTCTTCTGGTTATAGTACTCTCGCGTTATAATTATATATTTTTTATAATTAAACTATTACCCCTAACACGGGGCACAAAAAAAAAATAAAAAAAATAAATATATATATATATAGTGTGCATGTATTATGAATGTATTATAAGTGTGTTATAACCTAGATCATTTTATTGGTATTACTAAGAAGAGAGGGGAGTTTGCAAATTATAAATGTATTTTTCATGAATAAAACTTATATTATATGTTTAATAAATTATTTTGATTTGTATCACTAAGAAAATAAGTGGCGGTTGCAATATGTATTAAAAATGTATTGTGCATGTCTTATAAAAGTGTGTTATCTAAATTATTCCTGTTGGTATCACTAAGAAAGGAGTGAAGTATGTAATATGTATTATAAAGATATTATTCATGAATAAAACATGTATTATATGTGTTTTATAAATTATTTTGATTTGTATCACTAAGAAAAAGAGAGATGTTTGCAATATGTTTTACAAATGCATTGTGCATGTATTATAAATGTATTACAAGTGTTACCTAAATTAATTTAGTTGATATCACTAAAAAGTGAGTGAAGATTGCAATATGTATTATAAATGTATTATTCATGATTTTGATACAAATTTAATACAATTATAAAACATATCTAATACAACTTTAATATAATTGTGATACAGTTTCATAAACTTCATCGTTTTTCGAGCTTTAATCTAATATTTCTTCTACAATCAATTCTAAACTTAACCAAATCCTCTTAAAATTGAGATATAAACTCCAAATGATATTTTCAATTATTTGTAGGAACAACCTATCCAAACTAATCACAAATTCGTAAAACTTAAATAATGAATTCAAAATTGAAAACTATTCTAGAATATCTCCAATTAGAAAGAAGATGACAATACATTCCTTCTTACACAAGAGAACAATGGGATAATATTCCTTCTTTTAGTATTAAAATTTAGCAATAATTTATGAATGAGAGTCTAATAAGTTGGTAAAATACCAACTCATCATCAGATCTCAATTAGACTTTACTAAACACTCACTACTGAAATTTGGATCAAAATTGATTGACATGGTTGGTTTTGTAAGGAAGACCAACGCCAAATCGATGCAATGTACATCGTCAATTTGGCATGGTTTGGATCACGAAACTAGAGGACATAGTCGGTTAAAACTAAGGGACAACCTACCTAGACTGTGAGTTTCAATAAATTAAAAAACGACAAAGAATGTTTTAAAAAAAAAATGAAGTCTTATTGAGAAAGTAATTTGTGGAAATAAATAAATAATGAGGAGAACCAGTAATACGATGAAAATGTTATTCTCCAATTTGTTGGAATTTTTTGTGAAATCAATTCATATAAATTAATTATAATTAATAACATATATAATTATTTTTTAATTTAAATCTTATATTAAAATATTTGCTCTTACACTTGATCATTTTAGCAAATTAAGTAAAAAAATATTTTTCGTATAATATATCTTTTTTATTAAATAATTATATGAAATACTAATGGTCAATTTTATTAATATTTTATAATTTATTTTTATAAAATACAAATCTATCTAAACTATAGTTTTAATTAAAGAAACCTAATAATTGATCTGGTTCAATTCAACGGGTCATTATTTTAGTTCATGGAATTTGACTATTTGAAAAACATCTTTCGCAAATGCATACTATACTCCTAAATAATTAGGAATTTAGATTTATTTAGAACATTAGTAATATTAGGGAAAATTGTATGAAATAGAAAACTATTAATTT